AAGGATGATGACTGATGAAAAAATTTATTTTATGAGGGATGGGAAGGATTTTCAACACAGGTCTTTATAATCGCGACAAAATGGGTTTTAATGATCTATATTATACGCATTATTTGCTATCCAAGACTGTTCAAAAACCTCTGTATAAAGGAAATTACGTTTGCTCTTTATTTAGCCTATCTACTATTCGAATCAAATATGTACACAAGTTATTATCAGGTCCGATTGTTAATTAGAACGTAGAATTATTCATCAATCAACATCCTTGTCCAAGATCTTGCCTCAAAGTATCAGATTAAAAATAACACTTACATTTAATTACAGAATTAATTATAATTATAACATCTTATACAAACTTCTATATATTTCGAATTAATAAATGGGGCAGCTAATCGAAGTGTTGAAAGTTCACTGTAATTAATTCATTTTCTAGAGAACAAAGACTTCTAATACCTTCGATTTATTCGGATTTTTTATCCACAGGAATTTCAGGAAGCCATTGAACAGGATTTTTATTATAAATTGACCAAGAAGGTAAGACGATCTTTGGATATTGATAGGGAAGGCGAATATTGAGTAAGCAAAAAATCCGCAATATGTGGAAAGAATTGAATGACTTGGATACATACTAAGGCAGTTACGGCTATCCCGGCCAGAAAAATTATTGCTGTTATCTGAAGATCTTGAAGTAGAAAACCGAGTAGAAATCCTAAAGTCTATTTATATGTTATAACTGTTAGTTACATGACATTACTGAGTGATCTTGTTTCGCCAAATATGAAAACTTACAGCAAATGAGGTTATGCTTATTTGCGATATCGATTCGGCCAACCTCTGACCTTCGAAATCCTAGAAAAAATGATTAATAGATTGGTAAACCAAAATTCAAAACACTAAATGTATCTGTACTTACAAATTTACATTCAAGCCAGTTATACATTATCGTTTTAACAAAATAAAGAGATCATCTTATGATCTTATATATTCATGTGTAAGGAAATGATTGGACGTATCTACATTTTTCGATAATTACATCATTTTACATAAAGTATATTTATAATCATTTAAGATTTGACTTTTTTTTTTGTCCCGGTTACGATGAAAACTGATTTTAAGGTAATTTTGCAAAACATCAAACATAACTGAATTTCCATCGCTAACCAAAATTTTTCAGTTTTCCAATTTATGTGGAACCGTATACACCAAAGGAAATCTATGCTTCACTCCTGATGGAAATTCACTTTTAAGTCCAGTTGGAAATCGCGTAACTTTATTCGACCTGGTGAAGTAAGTGTTAAGGGATTTAATTGATTTTTTTTTTTCAATTAATATTAAAATTCATTCGTTAAACTACAGCAATAAGTCATTCACCTTTCCATTTGAAAATAAGAAAAATATTAGTCGAATTGCACTTTCACCAAACGCTAGTTTATTACTTTCTATTGACGAAGGTAGGACTCGTAATCAAAAGAAATCATGTTGAACCCGCGTTAATTTTAATTATTATTACTACTGTTACCATTTTGTAGAAGGGAGGGTTCTTTTAGTAAATTTTCAACGACGCGTTGTTTTGCACGAATTCAACTTTAAATCGAGTGTTGTGGACGTGCAATTTAGCCCAGATGGGAAGTAAGTAGGAATGTTTTAATGATTTGTTTTTTTTTATCTTAGAAAAAATATTGTCTTACATTTTTGGGGGGGGGGGTTACAATATTATGCAGATATTTTGGCGTTGCAGTCGGAAAAACTATCAAGGTGTGGAAATCACCAGGCTTCAATCGAGAGTTTGCGCCGTTCATCTTTCATCATCAATATACTGGACATTACGATGATGTAACTTCGATAACGTGGTCTAGTGACTCTCGGTATTCGGGATTACCTAAAATTGTCAAATCATCTTTATCTTTGGATTCAATTAAGTTTTAATGTGCAATTTAATATATATATATATATATGTATATGTATATGTATGTATTTGAAGGTTTTTCCTCTCTACTTCAAAGGATATGACCACTAAAATTCATCCCATCCTTCTTAACAATGAGTTTAATACCGTCACTTTGTCTGGGCATAGAGACTATGTAGTCAATGCATTTTTTTCCGGAAATCAAGAATCAGTATGGTTTGAAAGTTTGTAATTATGACATTCATATTTTATAAGAAACTTCGAAATAACCAGTTTTTGATTTTAGATATACACCATTAGTAAAGACGGTGTTCTTTTGATCTGGGTTTTTATAGCTTCTAACGAAGATAAACATGAAAGATGGAGGATCACATCTCGACATTATTTTAATCAATCCGGTGCCAAGGTGATTTGTTCGGCTTACCACATAAAATCAAATTTGTTGGTGGTTGGCTTCTCATCTGGAATATTTGGAATCTGGGAAATGCCAGAATTTAATAATATTCACACCTTGAGGTATTTTGATTTAAGCATTTGGTCATTTATCTTATTATATCAGTTAATCTATTTACTTCATAATTTTTAAAGCATATCCCAAAAGAAAATCAATTCAGTGTCTATAAATGAAACAGGTGAATGGTTGGCATTTGGATCATCAAAGTTAGGCCAATTATTGGTATGGGAGTGGCAATCTGAATCATACGTTCTCAAGCAACAAGGGCATTTTTACGATATGAATACATTGTCTTACTCAAATGATGGTCAATATATTGCAACTGGTGGTGATGACGGCAAAGTAAAAGTTTGGAATACTATGTCTGGATTTTGTTTTGTCACATTTTCTGAACATAGTTCCGGAGTAATGATGGTAGAATTTGCTAAAAGTGGTCAAGTATTATTCTCAGCTTCCCTGGACGGCACTGTACGTGCATTTGATTTAATTCGTTACAGAAATTTTCGTACATTTACTTCTCCAACGCCCATTCAATTTTTTTCATTGGCTGTGGATCCAAGCGGAGAGATAGTTTGTGCTGGTTCGATGGATACTTTTGAGGTGTTTGTATGGTCTGTACAGACCGGTAAGCTATTAGACATAATAACGGGACACGAGGGACCGATAAGTGGATTAGCGTTTAGTCCCTCAGGTTTACTATTGGTATCGAGTTCATGGGACGGTACGGTTCGCATATGGGATATTTTTGGACGCGGAAAACATGTCGAGGTGCTGCGGCATAATTCTGATGTTTTAACTGTAGCATTCAGACCCGATGGTAAACAATTAGTTTCGTCCACTTTGGATGGACAAATAACTTTTTGGGATGTTGAAAGTGGTACCCAGGTGGCGTCGATCGAAGGACGAAAGGATATTTCAGGAGGAAGAAAGGAAAATGATCGTAGAACTGCGGAAAATTCTTCTTCCGGAAAATCTTTTAATAGTTTGTGTTATTCTGCTGATGGATCATGTGTGATTGCAGGCGGGAATAGCAAATATGTGTGTCTTTATGATGTCGAAGGACAGTTACTCATCAAAAAATATCAAATATCCCATAACTTATCATTCGATGGAATTCGAGAGTTCTTGAACAGCAAATATATGACGGAGGCTGGGCCTCTCAATTTGATTGATCTTACTGGAGATGCGAGCGACCTCGAGGATAGGCTCGATGTGAGTCTGCCCGGTACTCAAAAAGGAGACCTTTCTGTACGAAGAGTCATGCCCGAAATTCGTACAAAATCTATCAAGTTCTCGCCGACGGGGAGATCTTGGGCGGCGGCATCAACCGAAGGATTGCTGATTTATTCATTAGATGAAACGTTGGTTTTTGATCCTTTCGATTTAGAAATGGACATTACTCCAGCTTCTATATTGGAAACTTTGCGTTCTGCCGATTTCTTAAAGGCGTTGGTAATGGCTTTTAGGCTCAACGAAAGCCACTTGATTCATAAAGTCTATGAAGCAATACCACCGGAAGACATAGAATTAGTAATCAAGGATTTGCCTGAGAAGTACATCGATCGATTGCTTAAATTTATATCCAATCATATGGAAGAATCTCCACATATTGAGTTTCATTTATTATGGGTTTCCAAGATGTTGACCACTCATGGAAAATATTTGAAACAGCATTCGAATGAATTCAATAGTAGTTTTAGATTGATGCAAAAGGCCATTAACAGAATGCAAGAAGATATTTCAAAATTGTAAGTTCGACCTTTTATTATCTACTACTTTTACTATTGTCCTGATAAATTGTATTCTGAATCTGTGCAAATTCTTTCAGGTGTGACGATAATGAAAATACAATAAAATATTTTTTGAGCGCGTACGAAAAGGATAAAGTAAATGCCACGAAATAAGGATAATTAATTTAACAAAAGTAATAATCTTAAATAAAACGAGGATCCATGTTGAATAACAAGTATTTTAAAAATTGCATTATAAAAAAAATATATTTATCTTAATCAATAAAATTTCAGTGGGTGGATTTTTAGTACTGTCATATTAACATCGGTTAGCGGTTTGAAAATTTAAAGGTCGTTAGTACTCCTGTTACATTGTTGTTGGCCTGTAATTCGTAATTTGTCCGGTCAATTTTATCTAGTTTTCTGGAGCAAATGCATGAAGCTTCTACAACGATGATAAACTATCAAGACAAGTGAAGATAAACAACATATAATTGGTGCAACATTTATAACTTTAACTAAACTGTGCTATAATGAGAAATTTTATTTTTTTTTAGAATTTGAAAAAAATAAAGCTTTAAGAATTTAAGTTCAGATCACCTCCATAATGTAAGGAATCTGAACATAAAGGTTTGATTGATTTTATTACATTATTCTACAAGATGTCTATCTACATTTTATTTATCAGGCTCCGATTTCCAACAGTTCCAATAAATATTGAGGTACCCGGCTTCTTTGATCGGGCTTTAAATTTTCCATACTTCTTTTTAAGGCCTTTAGTAATGCTGGGTCCCGTTGCTTCAAGATATCTTGAATTTGAGTCTGCGGCAGTTGAAGTAAGAATTTGAAATTGTTCGGTTTTATCTGATCATTTTGATATTTTCGATGAAAAATATGTACAACGATTTCATGTTAAAGTAAATCAATGGTAAATGAATAGAGGAAAAAAAAAAATAAAATAAATCAAAACTACCTTCAAACAAAATTCAGTACAATATAAAATAAATCCCTTCCTTAAAACCTCGTTTTTCCACACGTCGGTAACCTTCCTTATTAACATGTCATTAACGAATCCAGCCAAAGTATGATGTGCTCTAACACTCAAAGTAACCTAACATTGATCACACAATATTAAGAAACGCGATGAAATTAATAAACCAATTACAGTGATAATAGACACATACTGTTCTCATAAATGTTGTTGGCAACTCGGATTGATCAGATAAATGTTGTAATACCGCTCCCAAAATTTGTTGATTAAATATATTTGGCAACAAGAAGCATATGTGGATGGCTGTAATAAAATAGATAGAAAGAACTTTAAATATCGAGCATATTAGGCAACATCATGAAGTTCCTCATGTATAATATTTTCACATATCTCAAAAATTACAAAATCAAATAGAATCACGGAAATTTGGTAATCTTTGAGATGTACGTATTCCGTTATTTTTGTACCTTCAACTGATTGTTTTATTGATACTTCGTTCTTATCTATCTGATGTAAATAAATCAATAATTCCCTGGGTGTTATCTGCGCAACACCACCCGTTGGAGGAGTCAATATTTTTAGAAAAACCTTTTTGACAATATCGCGTTGCTTATCCGTCGCGTCAAGCGTAGTGATCACTTTGGGAAGATATCGGAATATTTCATCCTGTTTGGGTAATTAATTAAATACGTGACATTCGTTATTTGGGAAATATGACGCTAGCACTCGGTCACCGAATGGCACTCACCTTTTCAAAATAGGAAATTATAGGGAAAAGGAATCGACCATCCAGATTCCTTTGTGTAATTACAGTTTTGGAAATATTAATTAATTGGGCCGGTGGTGGGCCTGAATATTGAGAATGTCATTAGCGTCCAACTGAAAATTTTGGTGACCTATACGAAAAATATACATGATTATTTTTAGCTTACCTGCTTTGTTGGTAAACACTACTAGCATCTTTAATACTAAATCTTCAGCTCCGTTAGGAAAGGTGCGGAAGAGTTGTAGCAATCCAGGCAAACCAATTGTATCAATTATTTTTTGTGCGTTCTTTCGAATCATAACTTGCATTGGTTCGGATGTCTGTATGTACACGGATATCAACCTTAACAATAGTGAAGAATGTTTAGATTCGATCGTCGACCGCGTAAAATTAGTCAGATCGTAAGCAACAACAAAACCATACTCTCGAAATAATTCATTTTTCTTTGCACATAATGAAAAAAATAAATTTATGTAGCGATCAACATCCTGCTGATTCCACTTCCTTGTTTCGGAATTATCTTCTACAATTATCCTTGTGTCAACGGTTCCGCTGACATGATAATGATAATCAAACAAAGGTGGGAGATTTTCGTCGCATAATTGTTTGAGAGATTCCAATGCAAACGACTCGATTTCTTGACTTAGCTCTGGGTGATTTGGGTACCATTTATTTGCGGCGATGATTGCTGATGCCCGAGTATTGTCGTCTATAAATTAGAAATAATGTTGTTTAACTTTAAATTCGATTCAACAATTTTCTTGGTAAAATGAGATTGGGTGATTATGACCTTTATGTAGACAATAAGCTAACAAAATCTTCATACAAAATGATCTTGCAGGTGGTCGCAAATCAATTAACTCGCCTAAGGTAGAAAACCCAAGTGCTCTCCTGATTTTTATCCGGAGAGGAAATTGTTAACAAGAAGAAATACGAAGATATCAAGTTCACATGAACTGAAGAGAATTTCTTTTTCATCAAACCTATCCGGATCATTGCAAAATATTTTAATGCGATCCACCACATCTTCAACCAATTCTGGGATGTCTAATAGAAATTGTGTATAAGTTCGATCTTCGAGTGCTGGCATTATTCTATCCAGTAATCGACTAAGCCAATTCACATAATTAGATTTCTGTGGGACGTTCAATATCTGAATTTCAATTAAATCATATTAAGCACATCGCACGTGGATAAAATTCAGCCTACTTACGTGTGTTGGGTCTTCCCGAAGTTTAATGGAATCATGGAACCATTCTTCATCGAGCCACGTTAGCGCAAACTCCATTCTAAATAATTCAACGAATATTTACTGATCTCATCAAAATTTAAACAAATCTGAGCTGTGCGCATGTATAATTAATGTTACCTATTTTTAAAATCTTCCAGAATATATTGCAGAATCATTTCCCTTAATTTGTCATTAATTTTTTCAGTGGTATCATCAGAAAATTCAAGACCTCTTGTCAGCAACCTTACTGCCATCACATGCAATTGTGCTTTGGTCATTCTTTGACCATTGGATAAAGTAGTAAGAACAACATTCGAGCGATTTCCCTTTGCTTCGGATGATAATTTCGACTCGATTTCCAGAATATTTCCGAGTGTGGTTTTAATAAATGACAGGCATTGTTCTTCCGGTAAAGTTTCAGGTGGTGGAAGAACATATGGTTGAAATTTGAAGGTTGGCGCTACCACATGTAACTGCGGAAGTTCGGGTTCGGGCTCGGGTTCTGATACACGTTCTGGTTCGGCTTTAGATTCACTCTCTATTTTCAATTCGTGTTTGACTATTTCCATTTTTTGATCTTGTTTAGCCTCTTCCTCAAGAACCTCTTCAATTTCCATGTCATCAATAAATTCGGGAATTGATATTTCATATTTTACTTCTGCTTTCATCATCTCGCTAATGTTAGAAGATTCTAGAGGATCAAAAGAAATTTCTTCTTCTACAACCGGTGGAGGAGTCGGAGACTTGGGTGTAGATTCTTTTTGAAATTCTAATCGTGGATCAGGAATTTTACGTTCGGAACGCGTTTGCCTCGCGTCTTTTTGAGATGGTGTTGGTAAAGTTCGAAGTACTGCTAATCTTGCTTCCCGCTGCTGAAGGGCCTAAATTCTCATACTGATTAGGATAAAAAAAACAAACCATCATTTAAATAAACAGAATTTCATTATTTACCTGTTTTGCAAAGATCAACCTTTCTTGCGGAATTGCTTGTAAAGCCACATGTATCACATCAATCACAAAAGGTAACGCGA